TACCACAGGCCTCAGTGCTGGGCCCGGGAGTGTCCCACAGGCCTCAGTGCTGGGTCTGGGAATGTACCACAGGCCTCAGTGCTGGGTCCGGGAGTGTACCACAGTGTCAGTGCTGGGTCCGGGAGTGTACCACAGGCCTTGGTTCTGGGCCCAGGAGTGTACCACAGGGTCAGTGCTGGGTCCAGTGCTGTTATCGTGTACATTAATGATGGAGACATGAATGGAGGAGCTATGGTCACCACGGTTACATGAAAAGTGATGGTGTAGTGAATAGTGAGGGGGAAAGCCTTAGTCCACAGGCCGATATAGACAGGCAGGTCAGGCAGGCTGTACAGGGTCAAATGGAATTTAATCCTGAAAAGTGTTGGGGGATGGGGATGATGAATAAGCCAAGGGAGTAGGCATTGAATGTGAGGACCCTCGGATGTACACAGGATCAGTGGGATCTTGCTGTGCATGTCCATAAATCCCCGAAGGGAGCAGCACAGGGGGATAAGGTGCTCAGAAAGGCATAGAGGAAACTCTCTTTATGAATCAATACAAGGAGGTTATGATGGAGCTGTGTATAACGTTAGTTAGAGCACAGCTGGAGTACTGTGTGCAGTTCTGGTCCCCACACTATGGGAAGGATGTGATTGTACTGGAGGGGGATACAGAGGAGATTCGCCAGTATGTTCCCTGGGCTGGAGCGAATCCGCGATGAAGAGAGGCTGGGATTGTCTTCCCTCGAGCAGGGAAGAGCTGAGGGGGATCGGACTGAGGTGTACAAAGGGGCACGGACAGCATGGATAGGGAGAAACTCTTTCCCTTTGTAGACGGGTCAGTAACTGGGGGGTGGCACGGTTTAAGATCAGGAGTGGGAAGTTGAGAGGGGATTTGAGGAAGAATGTTTCACCCAGAGTCATACAGTTTAGAAACAGGCCCTTCAGCCCACCATGTCTGTGCTTACCAACAAATATCAAACTACACTAATCCCATTTACTTGTTTTGACATGGGAACATAGGAATTAGGAGTGGGATCAGGCATGTCAGCCCTTCGAATCCGCTCTGCCACTTAACATGATCATGGCTGGTCTCAGCCTGGTCCCAACTCCACTCTGCCACAACCCTTTATCCCACATTTCATCAGGAACATATCTATTTCTTTCTTCAATCTGTTGATTGATTCTGCCTCTGGGGCAGTGAGCTGCACAAATTCACAACCCTCTGATAAAAGCAGTTTCTCTTCATCTCAGTTTTGAACCTCCCTCCTCTCACTCCTATATCTCTGCCCTCTTGTTTGAGGCTGTCTCACAATAGGGATAGATGATTCTAGAAACTCACACAGCTCCGATGTCCTCAACTTGGGCTGTAGTTCCTAGGACTATCTTTACACCTTTTCTTTGAACAAAGGTGGCAAATTTCTTCCCCCGAGTTCCCTTCACTTGACTCCTAACAAAGGACAAAGATAAATGATTTGAACCTGGAACTCACTGCCTGAAAGGGTAGTAGAGGCAGAAACTCTGAAAATGTTTAAGAAGTATTTAGAGGAAGACTCAAATGCCATTGCAACGGGTGAAGACTCTCATGATGTAGTGGCAGTGCTCCCTTCTGGGGACTAGGAGGTCCAGGTTCTAGTCCCACCTGCTCCAGAGGTGTGTAATGAACAGGTTGGTTAGAAGATATTGACAAGGCTACAGGCCGAGTGCTGGAGAGTGAGATTGGAAAAGATAGGTGTTTGATAACCTGTACAGACATGATGGGGTGAAGGGCCTGTGCTGTGGAAACTCTATGACAATTCCAGCAAGGGCTTTGGGGAAAACTGAGCACAGTTTTTTTTTTAAACTTGTGATGGATTGCCAACTGAGATACAGTCCAATCAGAATTCTAACTTCATGCCCAAAAGTTTTGGAAAGCAACAAATTGGAGCAAACTTTGGAGGGATACCATCAGACTGTCAAAAATAGCCCCACGACTGGGACAAAGAGGGTTTTTTTAAAGAATTACTTTTGCTCCAGAGATTTAGTTAACGGTCATGTAAGAGAGGAAACCCACAGACACAGGGAGAATGTACAAACCACACGTGGGTAGTCACTCGAGGCTGGAATTGAACCTGTGTCCCTGGCACTGTAAGGCAGCAGTACTAACCACTCAGCCACTGTAGGGCAAGGACAAGCATAGTCTCAGAGAGTGACAGTGAAGGCTCTTATAGAATTCCCTATTCCCAAAACTGAATGAGAAATCATGGAGATGTTTCAGAATGTGTGGATGCTCCTGGAAGTTTGTGTAATTTCAGTGCGGGATAGCTGCACCTTGAACAGATTTTGTTAAAGAAACTAGTAAACGTTGTCTGGACAGCAGAATGTCAAGCAGTCTTTGAGAAATCCTGATAAATGAACAGGAGTTGGTCTCCTCTGATTTTCAGGTTGACACTTGATGCTTGTGATTTGGGGACGGGTGCTGCCTTGTTGCAGGACGGTGAGTGGGGAATAGAGAAGCCAATGGTGTACCCCCCCTCAGAAACCAGTCTCAGAAAACACATCCTACTGTGGGTAAAGAGACTTTGGGATAGCTGCTGGCTTTTCAACATTTTGAAGCCTTTATCGGACACAGAAACAAGGGAAAACTAATTTACACAGATCGTAATCTGAGATGTTGAAATGAAATGTGAGACTTAGATGGAGCCTTTTGGTTCAACCACTGAATGTCAAAAATTATTCATATGGTAGAAAATAGAGAATGTAATTGTGAATGCAGTGCCCAACATGTAAAACGTTGGAATAAATGAAATGCTTAATAAATATTAACGAGTGCTGAGGGAAGGGTCACTCGACCTGAAACGTTAACTCTGATTTCTCTCCACAGATGCTGCCAGACCTGCTGAGCTTTTCCAGCAACTTCTGTTTTTGTTCCTGTTGTTAATAAATATTAAGGTTGCCTTGGAAGGGAAGAAGAATAAATGGATGTAAGTCTTTGTGTTTTGTCATTTGTATGTTCCATGTTTTGTAATAAATGTTTTTGATATGGCTTAAGTGTGAAGGCTGTTACTTTTAATTTTTGTGCTTTGTAAAACTGTGGACTGAAATGTGAAAGGGCTGTTTGGAAACTGAGGGATTTACAAGGAAGGCAATGCGCTTTCAAAGTAAGGAAGCTGATATCTTTTTGAGAACCCAGTTTGAGTAGCTGCAGGTTCCAATGACGCGCAGACAAACAAGCATCGAGGGGCTGTTCAAAAATGATGGTGATTGGTTTGTGTGGACTAGGGAGCAATCGTCAATGACAAAGATCCTGTACTTGCCAACAATAAGTAACTGGTTGTCAGGGAGATGAACAGCTTGACTATGAGCAAGGCAGATAGGAAGCTAGGTCGGGCTTGAGGAGAAAGCGAGCAGGTTGACTGCAGGCCAAACAAACGTCAGCCTTCCTGCTCCTCTGATGCTGCTTGGCCTGCTGTGTTCATCCAGCTCTACACCTTGTTATCTCAAACAAAATAAAACCCCTCTCTCAGTTCTCTACAGAAAGCCGTTTCAAATTTGAAGAAAACCAGCTCATCTTTCGTTCAGCAGTTGCTGCAAGTTGAAACTTTGAATTGGAGAAGTCAGAGATCTCTCACAAATGGAAACAGTCACCCTGTGCCTTTTGCAAACCAGTGAAGCATTGAGAGCACAGGGAGGTTGAGGAGAAACCTTCAGATCAGCAGGAACCAACTTCACAGATCACGTTAACAATAATTACAGAAATATTTTCCAGTGTGCTATCCACCAGTATGGTTTTTGTTCCACGTTGATGTTTGCCTGTGGATATATGGAAGCGGCAGTTTATAAGGAGTTTTGGGTTTTAATTTGTAGAGCACATTTTATACATGATCTTGGACATGAATTACAATAAGTTTGCATGCAGGTACAGCAAGCAATTGGGAAAACGAATAGAATGTTATCATTTATTGTAAGGTGGAACTGAATACAAAATTGGGAAGGTACGCTTCACTTATACAGGGCAGAGTTCATAGTTTGTTGAAGATGGAGTTGCAGGTAGACAGGGCGGTAAAGAAGGTGTTTGGTACACTTGCCTTTATTGGTCAGTGCATTGAGTATAGGGGTTGGGAGGGTCATGTTGCAGCTGTACAGGACATTGGTTAGGGCCACTTTTGGAATACTGCATACAATTCTGGTCTCCCTGCTATAGGAAAGATGTTGTGAAACTTGAAAGGGTTCAGAAAAGATCTACAAGGATGTTGCAGGGTTGGAGAGTTTGAGCTACAGGGAGAGGCTGAATAGACTGGGGCTATTTTCCCTGGAGCGTCGGAGGCTGAGGGGTGACCTTATGCAGGTTTATAAAATCCTGGAAGGCACTGATAGGATGAATAGCCAATTTCCCCCAGGGTAGGGGAGTCCAAAACTAGAGGGGCATAGGTTTAAGGTGAGAGGGAAAAGATTTAAAAGGGACCCGAGGGGTAACTTTTTCACGCAGAGGGTGGTGCGTGTATGGAACAAGCTGCCAGAGGAACGGGTGGAAGCTGGTACAATTACAACATTTAAAAGGCATCTGGGTGGGTATATGAATAGGAAGGGTTTACAGGGATATGGACCAAATGCTGGCAAATGGGACTAGATTAATTGAGGATATCTGGGTCAGCATGGACAGGTTGGACTGAGGGGTCTGTTTCCATGCTGTAAGCTCTATGACTGTTGTGAGACACCATGTTGGGTACTGGGTACAGTATTGATCTCCCTATTTCAGGTAGGACGTAAATGCATCAAAAACAGTTCAGAGAAGGATTACGAGACCAATAAAGACAGAAATGGCTGCAGAGACACAGCGGGTCTGACAGCATCTGTGAAGAGAGAAACAAAGGTGACATTTGAACTCACGCATGACTCACCTTCGAAGGCGTATTGGACAAATACAGGACTCAAAATGTGAATTCAAATTACAGATGCTTCCAGACCTGCTGAGTGTCTCCAGCACTATGTGTTTTTATTTCAGACTGCGAAAATCCACGTTGTTTTCATTTACCAGTCAGACACCGAGAATTGATGGTTTGTCTAATGAGAGGATGAACAGGATGGGTTTGCATTTGCTGCAGTTTAGAGGCAAAGGCAACTTGATCAAAACATGTTAGACCCAGCGGGATGATAGTTCCTCTTGTGGGAAAATCAACGCATCCCTATCAGTGTAACCTTCTCCAACTCCTCCAGCCTCCTACACCCCCTCCCTATCTCTGTCACCTCCTCCAGCCCCTACACCCCCTCCCTATCTCTGTCACCTCCTCCAGCCCCTACACCCCCTCCCTATCTCTGTCACCTCCTCCAGCCCCTACACCCCCTCCCTATCTCTGTAACCTCCTCCAGCCCCTACACCCCCTCCCTATCTCTGTCACCGCCTCGAAACCCTCCAACCCCTCCCTGCATCTATGAGCCTTGGTGTAAGGGTCTGGTTGAAAGGCCCAGGTGAATGTGATCACTTTAAGAGCGATAACTGTCTGTAATGTGAGTTTGTGAATTTGTGGGCAGGCTCCTCTCAGTGCGGATGTGCTCTGACAAATCCTGACCATTTGGATTGTACTGGGAAAGTGTTTCCTGGTTCATTCTCCCCTTGCAGGACCTGCACCATTGCACAGAAATGACACTCAGAGATGTTTGATGCACAGAAAGAGGCCATTCAGCCCATTGAATCTGCACCAGTGACTGTATTGGAATCATTGTCCAATCCTTGGCCTGTGACCCTGGAAACTGTGGCAACACAAGTCAATATCTATACTCTGCTCTGATGTTCTGAGAGTTTCTGACTCAGGTGGTGAGTTTGAGACTCCCACTCCCTCTCAGTGACAACATTTCACCCCAACTCTCCCCTTCACCTTCTATCCCCGTCCCTTGAATCTGTGCCCCCTCACCTCCTGGTTATGGACACCCCCTACTCATGGAGAAAGTGCCCGTCCATCCACCCTCTCTATTCCCCACAGAATCCCATCCACC